CAGAAATGTTAGGGAGGCCATGGAGGAGGCAACATGATTTACAATTCATTTAGTGGTGTCCTGAACACAGCTTTTGTAAACCATCCCACTGAGGTTGTCACAGACAGCCTCCCACTCCACACCCCTCTCCCCTAACACCAATTCAGTGTGGATGCAATTACTGTAGAACTAGTTCAGTCTAAAAGCTCATTTACTCATTAAGACTGAACAGAGAAATTGACCAAAATCTGATCTCTGTTTCTGGCCCAATGCCAACAATAGATGGGCATATCTACATTGTTCCTCCAAACCCCCTCCTTATCCCCATTGCATAGACAGCAGGTTAAAATACCCTGCCTGCCCAAATAATCCCCAGAGATACTGATTGAAGGGCAAAACAGTGGAATTGGGTTTCATTCAGAACATTCAGAACCCTGCCGCCTGCATTCCCACGCGCACGAAACTCCGCTCCCTGATCACCCCAGTCCTGGCCAGACTGCACTGGCTGCCTATCCCAAAGCAGATTGACTTCAAGATCCTCACCCTCGTATTCAAGTCCCTGCACTCCTCTGCACCCCCCTACCTCTCTGACCTCCTCTCTCCTCAAAACAGCACCCGTTGCCTTTGTTCCTACGGGTCTGGCCTCCTCCTTCTCCCCCAAGTCCTTTGCTCCACCCTCAGCGGCCGTGCCTTCAGCCACTATGCCCCGAGGCTCTGGAACTGCCTTCCTCACTCCCTTCATATTGCTCCCTCCCTTCCCATTTTCAGGTCTCTGCTGAAGACCTTTCTTTTCGACCGAGCCTTTGGTCACTTTCCTCCCCCTCCCCCTGGCTCAGTCCCAGGATCTGTTACTGTGAAGAGCTCTGAGACACGTCCGGCGTGGAGGACGCTATATAAATCCAAGTTGTTGTTGTTGTTTTACAGCTGTACTGAGCTGTACATTGTTACCAGTTACATTGTCCAATGGATATCGTGATGTAGAGCAATATACTGTAGTGTATTGTAACTGAAAAACAGCGATATAATATAAAAAACACAGAACGCATTCTCCAAATAAAGCATTCGGGGAGTAATCGTAAGTGATAATAACATCCAAAAACTATTCATCAAACACCATCTCTCCTTTACTATTAGATGGCTTCATTATTATTTTAAAAATTACAGAGGATTAAGTTTTATGAAGAATGTAATTAAGTTACCAATATTCCAGAGTTAGGTCTCAGTGATTAATCCAACTGAATATTCTTTTTCATGTGCCTGGAGTGAAGTATGATAAACAGATGAATGTATCACCTGGAGAAACAGCTCTGCAATATGATAGCATTGTGGAGTCCTGTAGCCCAGTGGTTAGAGCACTCGTTTTGCAAGCGAGAGACCTGAGTTCAATTCCAGGCAGAGGGTGAAACCTTGGGCAAGTTTCCTTACTCCACACACCTAATAATAATCCCTCCAAAACCAAAAACAATAATAAATTGGTCATTTTCAATCTATGACTGTTTGTGGGACATTGCTGTGCGCAATTGGCTGCCGCGTTCGCCCACAAATATACAGTCAATTCACTTTACAGTGTGTTCTGTGAAGCGCTTTGGGATGTCCTCCCGACGTGAAAAGCGCTATATCAAATGCAAGGATTATTATTATTATTATAATATTACATTTTACTCAGTAAACTGAGAGCAATATCCTACATAATAAAAATGGACAATTTCCTCATTTTGACACATGGATATCAATCAGTCATGGAAAAGATCTCAGGAGAAAAATAATTGAAGTCTTTCCTGGCAAAAGATTTTGAGGGAAATTAGCCTTACGCACACTGCTCACTAATGAAGAGCATGTCAGCCATATATTTGAAGTTGAAGCATTCTGTTACAGAAAAATATATTTTCGATCAGTATTACCAAAATTCTAGTGAAGGCAATCATAGTGTGCATTTGTGATACAGTCATTGCTTTTCTAAATGTGCATGACTAATTTTGCATAATTTACATGCACTTACTGTGTTTGTAAATTTACCTGGGTCATGCCCTTAAGACGTGAGCACGTGTACATGCTGTGGTGACAAATCTAATTTAGAAAACTGCTGTTTTTACATTTACGATAATAGGTCAGTTCAAGGCCGTTTATACAGCTCACTACTGTGACATTAACGCCAGGTGATTTCCAGGAGTTAGTTAATAACAAGCTCTTCAGTTGGCTCCTATTTTTAGACAACTATCCAACAGATTCATATTTGCAAAGGTGAGGATACTAGCTTTGGTTACCTTTTCAAGTGCATAACTAAATGCACCTTGTTGTATTTTAGATTGTGAATTCAAACATCTTGGGAATGTTTGAAGGGAAAATGCATGAATAATGCAAAAGACTCAACACCCTAGAAATAAATACGAAGGTCATTTGTTTTCTTTATATATAAAATAACTGACGTGTTAAAATGAATTACACAATATACCTCACATATACTGAGGAGATAATAAATAGTTGTATTTATTATCAGCTTTTAGTCTTTACTCCTTCTTTTAGGTTTCCTTCTTGCTGTGAGATTAATGTTGCTCCTGGCCTCTGAAACATTATAATCTAGTGCATTTGTGGGTGTGCAGAACCTGGGATAAATAATTCTTCAATTTTTCATCTGGTTTTGTGGAGAAATGTTCTAAATGAGAAATTATCGTTTTTGGTACAATTTCTACATTTTAAGCTGTACGTGTAAACTACATGACAACTATATCAAAGGCTAAAAGATGATACAATTGAGTTTTTTCAGGCATGCAAAGCTAATCATTAAGGAACAGAAATGATGATTGAGTATAACATGTCACAGGCTTTTAATCAATTGCTGGACAGCAGTCATTTGAACTTATAAATCCTTTTGATGCTTTTCCTGAAATAGTCACTTGGTTGCTGTCCAAAAATGAAGCGTAAAAATGCAAAAATTAAAATTAAGTGAGTTTGTGGCTCAGAAAGTAGACATCCCAGTGGTTTGTAATGATGTGTGTGAATGGTTTAGGAAGATGAATGATCTCCTTCCCTGCCCCTAGGCTGTTGGTTATCTATCCACTGCACTTAAAACATGACAGGTTACATTGTATCTCCACGATGGAAGCTATAATGGGAACATTAGAGTCTGTCTATATCAAATCAGTTCCCAACTGTGAAAATTCACATTCACCAAAAATTACACTGATTGCATTGAACCTCAAGTTTTCAAGCATATTGGCGTTTAATCGAAAATTTTAATTTCACTGCAATGTACAATATTCTTCACCACCTCATCACCATGTAATTTCTTTTGGGGGTATCTCATTATCTGTCGAATTAAGTATTCTACCTTTACATCCATTCATTGATAGGCATAAGAATTTTCAGAAATTAACCCGTTAAACCCTAACAATTAGCCCTCAAAAGATGAATGCCCAAATTTGGACAAACTCTGATAAAACTACTGTTACTGTTACTGTTATTGATGGCAATTCTACTGCTATTTTTCAATCAGAATGTCATACATATCCCAGTCATTTATGTGGTTTATAAATCCTCCACTAGGAGAGCAAAGGGGTGATCACACTGTGATATGTGAGTGAGATCTTGTGAAAGCCAAGTAAAGCAGGAGATAGTTTATGAGACATGGCACTGGTTACTGCTGATTAGGTCAACCTTTAAATTGAGTTAACGCATGAATTATTCAGTCAGTTTTAAAAGAATGAGCAATATATCAAGGTGAAACATACAAAGGAAAAGCAGGATGTTTTTGAAAAGAAAAGAATAAAATATTTTAATATATTAAGTGCAAGCCAACAGCAGTTTTTCACTTTGGGACAGAAAGGTAGAGGTTTGCAATTTCCAACACTATAATTCAGTCAAGCATGCAATGGACTATATTAAAAAAGATGAACATTTCTTAATTTTCTTCTCACTGAAGTCTCTTCTTACTGGATATTTTTATTTGCAGGACCTTTAAATTTATAGGGTATCCGAGTAATTCATTTGGAGGTCCACAAAAGTGTTGTGCGTAATGTCTTAACAAAAAATGTTTTATAAAAACAGAATTTCTAACCCAACTGCTCCTAAAGACGCCATATGCATTTCTCCATAATAATGATAATAATAATAATCCTTGCAAAAACAAAAAGATAAACACTTAGCAGGTCAGGCAGTATCTATGGAGAAAGAAAGTGAGTCAACGTTTCGGGTCCAAGACCCTTCGTCATAATAATCCTTGAATTTGATATAGCCCCTTATCACATCTTCAAGATGTCTCAAAGTGCTTCACAGAATAGATTGTAAAATGAATTGGCTTATATTTTGTAGGTGAAATGAGGCAACCAATTGCGCACAGCAGGTGTTTACTGATTAGTTCCAGTTTTCTGTTTGTCATCTTTTATCAAGTCTTGAAATTAAAAAAATGTTTTACCCACAGACAACTTCACTTGATTTATTTACTCCAATGCAGGGAAAAAAATTAATTCCAAAATGTCATTCCTAAGCAGCAACAAATGCTTTACACATAGGATGAACATTTCTCGGTGTCTACCAAGGAATAGCCCAGATCTCTCTTGAGATCTCTCTCCCTGACTACCACATGGGGATGCTCTTCTACTTAATTTCTATGGTAGATCGTATTGTGAGTAAGATATTGAGGGGAACAGTGAATTGGAATCTACCAATCCATTGTTCACTGCTTTTATTTACTCTTAGTCTGTCTGACATTAAATTCCTTTTTTTGTTTGACTTTGTAAACCAGTGTTGGTTTGAACAGAAAAATGCATATTTGTGAATGTCAAAAATAGGAAGTAGAATAAACTTTTGGGCTCTCATATATGGCTCGTTTGTGTTTTTTATTGCTTTATTTTGATAGAAATATTTATCCAGAAGTAACTCAGTTTTAGAATATGTTCACTATCATATTCTAAAGTGAATAATAATTTCATTTATCAAATTTTTTAAGAATAATTAGAAATATTAACTTGTTTTCTTCCCATTTTCTTTTCCTTTCTCCTTCTATTTCTCCAAATGAATACTAGTATCTACCAACCAGTTGTCCTCTTGCATTACATCACAGAGAGAAAGCAAGACCCGAGCCTGAATGTGAAATCTCCTTGTTCTCCTGCCCATGTCCTGGAGCCTCCTGCATGTGGGAGGGCTCTCTGGGTGCCATCCTGCCACACCTCAGCCACACTCACAACAATGTCAGCACACTGTGGGGAGAGCACATTGTCTTTCTAGCTACTGACATTCACTTGCCAGGAGCTGTGCAGTGGGTAATGATACAGGCATGTTTCAATCACCACTTCATGCTTGTGCTGGAGAAGCAGGAGAAATACGAGGGTCACCAGCAATTCTTTGTCTATGTCTTGCTGATCGGGACGCCTGAGCAGGCAGAAAGCTTCTTGTACCAGCTTGAATTGAAGAGGAACCGCAGACGATTAACCTGGGAGGCCACCCCAAAAGGCATCACTGAGAGTCCAGTCCCAGTCATTACAACCAACGATAGCCTGATCTTTGACACTTTGATGGCTCAGCTGTTTGCTGACAAAGGAAGCCTTGCCATTAATGTTACAATATCTACTTGCTAACAAGCTCTAATAGCTTACAGTAATGCTCATCTGCATTTATTACCTATTGATGGATCTTTATTGTGCCAGCAATTTTGCAAATCCAAGAATTTTTTAATGCAATAAAAAACTGTGACGGTGACTTTTTTAATGCATGTCTTATTTAGTCCTGTTTATTTAATACAACAGTGGTCAGATTTTCATGATTACCCTATTTGATATCATATAATGTGCAATATATGTAATGTGACATTTCTAAAATATTTTTGGTATTTCACAGGATGGAACAGTATTATGTTCTTAACAGTTATTACAATGAATTGCATTATTGAAATCACAGCTCAGCCATTCTATAAGTTGTACAGAAAAAATATAATTAAACTTTTAAAAATAAGTTTAAATTATTTGTATAAACAGATTCCGTTAGTAGCTTCGTAGGTTTTTATTATGTTGTTTCATATTGTTCATATATTGCATTGTTCTGATATCCTTTCCTGTTTGATTTGGTTATAGGTGACATGATCCTATCAGGTTGGGCTTGCCATGTCAATTTTATTTGCCTTTTGTCACTATGACAACAACTTGCATTTACATAGCACCCTTCACGTGAGGGAGCACCCTGGAGCACCATATTGCAGTAGCTCCTTACGCCACACTGTGTCACATTATTTGACATGTTCTCAATTTGGATATCCCCATTGCCTTGTGGTTATTTCCCACGTTGGCTCAGCAATTATGTGTCATATTGTGTTGCAGTTATGATAACAAACTGGGTTGCTGCTCCTGATATATTTCTCCATGAGGCTTGCAGCTCTTGATACACAGCTGCATCCTTTTTGATGTTACCCTGACTTTGCTGCCCTGGGTTATATGGGCTCTGTTTTATCTTGTGTTGAGTCTTTGGGTCAGTTTTACATTTACTCTTATCATTCTTGTGTTCTTACACAGGCTTACAATTTTATGTCACACTGATGGCACACTTCTATATTACATTAGCTGACAGAATATGTGTTATATCGGCCCCACAGTCTGCACAACATGGATATATAATTTTGGGGTTATAGTTCCATGTTAGATTTGTTGCACACCTACACTGGCTCTGCTGTTCTATGTCATGTTGCTTTGTGGGTTCCCTGGTCCTATGCTATTGGTTCCATAACATTGCATTCCCTTCACTCCACAGTTGTAAGTGACAGTGTTTTGTGTACCTTTCACACCGCCTGCACTTAATCGCCACAAATGGCTTCTCCTCTAGCCCCCGGACCCTCGCGTGCGGCGTTCCTCAGGGCTCTGTCCTTGGTCCCCTCCTCTTCAATAGCTATATGCTCCCTCTTGGTGATATCATCCGCAGACACGGGGTCAACTTTCACGTGAATGCGGATGTCACCCAACTCTACCTCTCTGCCTCCACCCTCGACTCCAGGACCACTGCTGTCCTGATAGAATATCTGTCAGAAATCAAGTCCTTGATGGGGTTAACTTTCTTCAGTTGAATATCAATAAGACTGAGGCTCTCCTGATTGGCGCGGACAGGTCCTGATTGGGTGCTGATAGCATCACCATCCACGGTTGCACACCCCACCTTGCTAAGCCAGTCCAACACCTTGGCATCTTGTTTGACTCTCAACTATCCTTTCTACCCCACATCTGCACCATGATCTGTTCTGCCTTCCCCCACCTCCACAACGTTGCCTGGCTCTGCCACTGTCTCACACAGCAGGCCGCCGAAATCCTCATACATACTTTCATTTCAACGAGGCTCAACTATGCAAACACATTGCTTGTCAACCTTTCTAACTCCTCCCTCCACAGGCTGCAGATCATCCAGAACTCTGCAGCCATGTCCTCTCCCGCACCAGGCTCTGTGACCCTATCACCCCCATCCTTGCCCAACTCCACTGGCTTCACATCACACGGAGGATACAGTTCAAGATCCTGATTCTCACCTTCAAACTCCTCCATGGTCTTGCTCTCCCCTACCTCTGCATCCTTTTTAACCCCCTACCATCCTGTGCACTTCCTCCGCTCAGTGGGCCTGCTTCACGTCCCCTGCCTCGCTATTGGCGAATGGGCCTTCTGCCACTTTGCCCCCACACTCTGGAACTCCATCCCACAGTCCCTCTGCCTCATCTCCTCCCTTGCCACCTTCAAGACCCATCTCAAGACCCTCCTCCGACCGTGCTTTCAATCTCCCTGCTTACCCCCATGCCCTTCTCCCTCCCCCACCCCGACCCCCAGCTCGGGTTCAAAACTCTGTCTGTCCATCGCCTTGAGACGTCCTTCCAATGTGAAAGGAACTATGCAAATGTAATTTTGTTGTTGTTGTTGTTTTGTGAACCCCATTGTATGTATGTTATATTTGCCTATGGTTCTATATTACATTCACCACACAGTTTTATGTTATACTGCTATTGCTGCTTTATGTTAAGTTGGTGTGTTCATTGTTTTATTGATCCTATTATATTTTGTATCATCGCCATAGTTTTGTGATATGTTAGTCCCACAATTCTAAGCTCTGCAAGTATTTCAGGACTGTATTCAATTGCTCTTATAATTATGTTACATTGACCTGAGTGACAACACTCTCTAAGTCATTCAGTATGAACTTTTGATAATTACTGTACAGTCATTTTGTAAATCTGGTAGCATTCTTGGCATGCATTGTTGAAGAATTGTTTTATTTATTATTCTGTTAGTTTTTTTCTATTTGTTCTACTCGAAGCAATATATTAAAATGATAGTCGTTGACTTTTCCATTTTTTGTTTCATACTTTAGTGGTTGCGATGGAATTATAACTCAATTATGGGATCAAAATTATGAAGCTATGAATCATTTTACACATGACTCCTCAACTTACATAACAATATATGTCTATTTGAGGGTTTCCAATGTGTAATTTGATTTATGAACTAGAATTGTGTGTCGTTCAAATATAGCATGGGGAAAAATAGAATATCCTATTTTTCCACCAGTGAGAAACATGTATACCTGACTTATGACTTGATCATTCATTATTGGAATAAAACAGTGATTAAACATTCTCCCATTAGATCTTTTCTTCCTATTTATTTTGCTGAGTAAGCATCCTCAGTCCAATACTTGATTAAGATTCACAGAAAAGATTTAAAACTGACATGACTTGATGAATATGTTGAGCATTTTATTCTACAGGGGATGAAAAGGAAAGAGAACTCAGGAAGGGAGGTGGTGTTTTTTGCTGGGAATTACAAGTAGTTCAAAATCTTTTTAGAGATCATGGGGGTTATTTTGCACTGTTAATATGTGTTGCTCAATATAATATATGTTGATGTATGTTAAATATTATTCTGCTCTGTTTTATTTGATAATTGTTTTGGTATGAGCTTCAAAATAATTGCAATATAATTTTAAATTATCATCAACATTAAATTATCATTAAATTATACATTTAAAAATATGTACTTAAGCAGCAACATCATCACTAAGTTTAGCAAATGGAGCAAAAGAGGATTTAGCCACAGCAAATTTGCTATATTGAACAAACAGAGTAGACTCTACACCCCCAATTGATTCAATGAATGAAATTGGCAATGATACTGCAATAATAATCCAGTGTTTAATTGACATCGTTTTATTAGTAGCATTGTTGTTTTGAAGTGAGAGGCAATGGTTTGTTAAAGCTTTGGGCTGTATTGTCCATTTATTGGTACAGTTTACCAACATTGATGGTCAGTGTGTTTTATCAGTACATTTTCTAACCTTGGCAGTGTGGACTTATAAGCAGTAAATTTACCAGTCAAACAGGGAAAATCCTTCAAAATCTTAATGGTACAGTCTGACAGGCTGACTAAAGGAGAAAACATACATCGTGTGCACAAAAAAAAGGTTTACACTGTCTGGACTGTTCCCAATTTACACAGCAAGACTTGCCAGAGAATCTCTCCATCTCTCTCACATCTACGAATCTATAATCAGTTACTGACTACTGAAAATCCCAGGATTCAAACTGGGATATTGTAGATTACAGCTGGCAACCTGTGTTGCTAATTTAAGGTGCGATAAATGCTAGTTCAAAATGTTTTCCAATACCCAACCAGTAACTTGTTTTTATCATTTATTTGTTGCTCACGTTACAGCCCTAAAATTAGCATGCAGACTAATGACATGTGTGGAGTCCTGTAGCTCAGTGGTTAGAGCACTCGCTTTGCAAGCGAGAGACCCGAGTTCAATTCCAGGCAGAGGGCGAAACCTTGGGCAAGTTTCCTTACTCCACACACCTAATAATAATCCCTCCAAAACAAAAAATAATAAATTGGTCATTTTCAATCTACGACTGTTTGTGGGACATTGCTGTGCGCAATTGGCTGCCGCGTTCGCCCACAAATATACAGTCAATTCACTTTACAGTATATTCTGTGAAGCGCTTTGGGACGTCCTCCCGACGTGAAAAGCGCTATATCAAATGCAAGGATTATTATTATTATTATTATTATTATACCTTTAGTTGGCAAACCCTACTAGTTTTATTTAGTAACAACACCAAATGAATTATACTCAGCAATTCCTTTTAAAAAATGTTTTTTACTCAAGACTATTATGAAGGATAATATTCTGTGGTGATAGTAAATAAATTTACTTACTAAGGTTACTTACTAAAACAATTAATATTTGTCTTAACTATGACAAGCACTAAAATACAGGAGATTAAAAATATATTTGCAGTTTTGCATTCATGTTTTTTTAATCTTTAAATTAAAAGCAACAAAAGTACCCTTTATTCTCTGTAATACTACTTGTATGGATAAGATACTTAACTAGAGCATAAATCATCAGAGGCACCTGTGTCACATCTAAAGATTTTGCTCCTTGCAGTAATATTAATCAGATTTCATTAAAAAGAGTGAACTGCACAAGGTCAATACTCTCATAAAAAAATAGATTTAATGTTAACAAAGATTTTTTATTTTACTGCACCTGTCTATAAAAGTCTGAAGGGCATTTCCTACAAGCAATGCCAGCACGACCCATCTTGGGTTATTAC